CTTTTTATGTACGTATATTTCAGGGTTTGTAAAAGATGACAGCCATTTCAGGGACAGGGAAAGTAAAATCCTTTATTCATGAAACAGCTACAGTAGTTGAAGGTACTTGTCCCCTTTCAAGCCAGGGAAGACTCTAAAAGAAAAACCTGGTCCATTTACCCTAAAAGTACAGGAACACATGCGCACTGCAACTGCAGTGCAGGGAAGAAGTGTCAAACACATGGCAATAAGTGACCAGACAGTATGTTTACTGAGGGTAGCCTGAATCATGGTCCTACAGCCATGACATTATTTATTCTCCAGCAGTGCACAGATAATGTTCTTTTTCATTACTGCTTGGCAATACTGCCAAGTATTGACAGTGCATTAGTCCAATAATAATCTAGTTTTGAGATAATGAATTAAAGTTCTGAATGAGACAAAAATGAAAGTAACATAGTAATCTTCTCCCACTTTCTATGTGTTTAGCACACGCGCACGCGCACACACACATACACACACATGCACGCACATGCTCTCTCTCTCTCTGGCAAAACTAGCAGACAGATTGCAACTGAACAGTGTCATAACTCAGGAATGTACTGCACTGGCAGAACTGTTTAGGGAAGTTTGCATAACAGCTGCTTGCAATATGCCTCATTCAAGCCCACACCCTCAATTTCACAAGCACTGAAATTACTGAAGATTTTTTTTAAGTAATCCACTAGTTGTACAAGAGAATTCTTGTACTTGGCCCCCTGTACTGCTTAAAGTGAAAATTCCCTGAAAAGATGCGTCACTTCATCATATACTCATCAGGGAATCATAGAAAATGAGGGTTGGAAGGGACATCAGGAGGTCACATCTAGTCTAACCCCCTTCTCAAAGCAGGACCAGCCCCAACTAGATCATTCCAGCCAGGGATTTTTGAGTCAGGCCTTAAAACCCGCCAAGGATGGGGATTCCACCACCTCTGTAGGTAACCGGCTCCAGTGCTTCACTACCCTCCTATTATCTAACCTAAACCTCCCTTGCTGCAACTTGAGACTATTGATCCTTGTTCTGTCATCTGCCACCTCCGATTACAGTCTAGCTCCATCCTCTTTGGAACCACCCTTCAGATACTTAAAATCTGCTATCAAATATATTTGATATAGAAATATTTGTATCTGTTTCTCTTTGTTAATATTCTAAGCTCCTTCCTACTAACCATACTCATGAGTAAACCTGAAATCAATGGGACTTCTATTAAAGGGACTGATATCATTTTTAAAAAATGCCTGCTCATGATGTAGGTACGCTATGTCATCTCCTTTTAACTGCTATCTCCCCATTAAATTATCATTGTGGCAGACATGTAAAGGCATGTTTTGTGTTGGACCAGTTCTACCTACCTTGCTTTGGCTACGTGATTATATTTTCAGGTTTCCTGGTTCTCCAGCTCTTAACTATGAAGAGTGGCCAATATTATTCTTCTGGGGAGTGGTGATAAAGTGGGGAAAGTGTCTTGTGATGGCTCCGGAGACATATGATTAAGCCCAGTTTTGTTATCGCTCCCCCTGCCCCACCCCTCCCCAACATCAATTCAAATGCAATACCTAGTAATTCAGGCTCTGGAATCAAAGGTGTCTGGATGTGATACCAGCTGGTCTCTTTCCAGTGCTATTGGCTGTAGAAACTATTGTGCCTTAAGCATGCTGGTTTTATGGAGTGTTAAGCTCCTACAGACCTTTGGATTTAGACTTGAACAGTAATCTGGCTGGGATATCAGCATGGGATATGAATTTCAGTGTGAATTCCATTCCTATTTTTAAACTAAATATAAATCAATACAAAATTATAAATTAATTCACAACAAATGTCCAGATTTGCTTGTGTTTTTTGTTTGTCTGTGTAACACAAAAGACATGACATTTTTAACTTTACATTTTCTTTCCTGTATGCTAAGAAAGATTGATGAGTTGCCTAACAATTAAGTATGAACCTTACAGAAGTTGACTTCATCATGCCCCTAACCCAGGTGTTGACGTGGTGCCACCCTTTTTTTAAATTGTTTCAAGTATTGCATATAACAAAACACCAGAAGGGTTGAGCCACTTGTGTAAACTGTACTCAACACTTCTCATTCCAACAGTTCATAGTGAAGTACAGAGTACTGAATAAAGACCTTCTGAGAAGAGAAAAGAGAAGACAGAATAAAGAAAACAAAATAAAATAAAGGATTTTATTTATTTTGGATACAGCGGCCCAAGTAGGATCAGGGCCCAACTTAGCTGGGGACTGCATAAATATACTCGACAAGTATCTTACATCTATGTATTACAGTGGAAACAGTATTGGCAGTTAAACAGCTGTCTAACTGCCTCTGAAAGCAAATGCATCTGAAAATACTAGATAATATATTAACTAATACCAAGTCCCAACATTAGTCAGAGTTCAATAACTGATTTCCAAAATTTTCCAGAAAAGGAGATGGAAATACCTCATTGAAGATCTAGGGTAAGTATGAAGCCAGAGCACTGGCAACAGCAGGGATGTCTATAGGTGTAGTCTGTAGGAAGGATCAACCAGAGAGGAGTCCTTCCAGCGAACAATACTTAAAGAGCAGAAATTTGTGGAACTTAACAAAAGTGTCCCAAAATAACCCAGATTGGCAAAGCCTTGTTTGTGCCCTAAGTAGTATTTAATGTCACAGAAAATATTCAGATGGGTAATTCGTTGCAGCCCTTCTGTGATTATATCTAGTCCTAAAAGGCATCCAGAGATCAGGTGCAGTGTCTAACACGTGAAACAGTCCTGTATCCCTACAAAAGGCTTCACTGGGGAATCTTGTCTGTGTGGAGGCCAAGAGGTTTAATTTACAGCACTCACATTTACTTCAAAGAGGAGCAATGTGCCAAGGATTTTTTTGTGGCATCTCTGATTGTACAATTCCAAGAATGAAAACCTAACTATCTTTTCAGGAATCTATTTGTAGTTCCCCTGTATGTTCCCCTCTGTCATGCTGCCAACTCATCTTGGTTTCAGCTGATTCTTGAAAGAAAAAAAGTGTTCACAAGGGATTTCACCATTACAAACTTGCTGGAAGTTCTTTCCGCAGAAGATCCTAATACATTAAGATTGCACTTCTTCTGTGACACCTGCTGGTACGAAGTCTCACATGTGCCCCACGCAGAATGCAAGTTGAGACGCTTCAAACCAGTGATTTGCACTGGGGTTATTGTCCAGAGGCCCAACCAGGACTGGGGATCCCGTTGTACTAGACAAGTACAGACACGTAAGATGACACAGTGCTTCCTATGAGCCATCTGATCCAAGACCTCAGATTGAGAAGTACAGTACACATGTGTTTTTAAATTATTTAAATAAATACATTTTTAATCAAAGCAGTTGGACATCTCTTCTTCCTTGCCAGCCAAGAATGTGAGGACTCTGTTTTCCCTGCCACAGGAGATAACCCCACTGCAACCTGAAGTAGTGTTGGGCATGTAGTTCTCTGTATGACATTCAGTGTTAGCAATGACACTCCTCTACTGGGAATTTCAAGACAAGCTTAAAATCACACATGGCAATACATCATTTTTTTTTGCTATCAGGGTAAAGTAGTGTTTAACTGATACGATACAAAGGCGCTATTACTTTCAAACTAGAATGAGGGTTTGTCTTGTTTAAACACACGTGTGCACACGTGCATGCACACACGCATACACTTTTAGCAGCATTTTGAACACACAGATAACATTAAGGCAAACTATATGCCATCTCTGACGTACTTCATATCAGTTATTGTGGATCAGAAAATGCCTCTACATGTGTTTTTAACTAAAATGCATTGTTCTAAATTGCTTCCATGGTGGGCGGCAGTTACAGCTCTCTTGCTTCTACTATGATCAGGACTATTAGTATCAAAGCAATGCAGGGAGCACCAGTGCCACTGCAGCGTCATCCTGCCAGGTGTTGTGTAGACCACTGAGGCAAGAAACCTCCATGACCCTTGAGAGTTTGCAACATAAAGAGACAAGCAAGGGAAGGAAAACAAACACATTTGTTAGCATTCAGAGATGGGTAACAAATGCCCAGAGGTATTAAGTGACTTCTAGGGTCACACAGAGAGTCTGATAGGAAAAGAGAGAGTGCACCCAGGCCAAGGAGATCTGGGTGCAATATTAACTAAAATGATAACCCCTCTCACGATGAGTTCATGGACTGTTTCACACACAATATGAACAATTTGCATGATCACTATACCATAGATGCGTGTTTTATGCTGCCATACTATACGTAATAATAGCTCAGACTGTTTTGAGTCTCTCGCTGTTTCTTCCGTTGTATACTACTTGAAAATGTTCACAGGAATTACTTTTTATGTTGTCAATTTGCATGTAAGCTACATCTGTGCCTGTTGCTGTTACTGCATGGAGTTAACACCCTATCCATTACTGCTGAGTCACCAAACGTGTGGTACAAAACCAGTGATTTACTTTTCCATTGTACAGCAAACTTTCCAAAATCATTTACTTCTCAACCTGTTTCTCCATACATGGCAAACTACAAAATACATGGGAAAGAATCTTAACTCTGCATCACTCCGAATTTTACACTTTGGTGTTCAGCACCTCTCAAGATCAGAATGTTAGACTTCAAGTTCTTCAAGGCATAGGGATCAAATCTCACTGATTTTGTAAAATGTCATTAATTTAAGGGTGCTCGATAAAAAATCCACAAACTACCCAGCCCTAAAACTTTTAAATTACTGAGTTCAGGGAACAGGACAACTTGAGATGATTCACCCCATGAAGAGTGATCATCCCCCTAGAAACAGATCATGGAACAAGTGACAAGAACAGGTGGGCCCACTTTTCCAGGACTTCTGAATGTGAAATAACCAGAGATTATGTTCCCACATATTTTTGCTACAATCTCATTTCCTTTGAGTTCTGTCACAGCAATCTTCATTTGCAAACCTCTCTCAAAAAGACTTTCAGCTTAATTACCAATTAAGATAAAGCAATGTGTCTGATGTGTTGTTATTTAATGTTATTACATTTAAGCAAAATTTTTTTTCCTTTTTCATGGGTTATTTTTGTTTAGTCTGAAAAAAATTGCGCATAATTAATTTTCTGCTCCATTTAGATACACTAGTCTGCATTGGTTATTGTTGATGATGTCTTTCCTTGATGGGTTGGGTGGTGACAGCTCAAACACTCCTTTACTTTGTCAACCTTAAGGCTCACTGTTCCATCATCAAATATGCTCAGGAGTGGTTGTTATCTTCTACACCAACACGTCAGATCCTTCCTGACAAAGAAACACAAGATAGTTGCATTCATCTTATGAATACCTTGTTATAGGCATTTTGGGGTTTTTTTCTTAACTGAACTCACGGTGGGCTGTTTGTCTTCTTTGGTTTCCTTCATCTTCTGCACTAGTTCTTACTGGAGTATTAGTGATATAAGCTGTACAAAGTCAAGAGAGGGCCAAGGGTTTCTTTGGGCAATATTTTTTGTTGGACCAATGGTATAGCTGGGATAGAGTTAGACAAGCTTTCAAATACAAGACATTTTTTGGGTCTGACCAGAACAATCCAGGCACAACACAGTAAAAAACAGCTGCATGAGAGAAGTTGCCAGGTACAGGAAACACAATTAGCAGAAACAAAGAAGCAGATTTCTGGGAGATGAAGGCCTACCAAAAATAGAGGAGGGTCATTCTCACCTCCCCTGTGTGGAAAGAATTCAGGAATAAGGTAAATTATAATGTGCCGTATATCAATATCAATGTTAAGTCCTCAGTTCTTAGTGTCCAGCCAGCACGTGAATTTTTTGTTCCCAGGTTCACATTTTAAAGGTGTCGGATAGATTTTCCTTGAGTACAAAGACAGTGAGGTCAGAGACAGAGTAGTTGTTCTGTGAGAAATGTACTCCTAATGGTGTGTGTGTGGCTCTGTCCTTTATATTTTTTTCTGTGAAAATTAATTCTGGTGCATAGCTGTTGTTTCATTTCACACACACAGTTGCCACGAGGACATTTAGTACACTGGATCAGGTATATCACATTTTGGGAAAGGCACATGGTGGATTCTGGTGGTTTTGTCATGGGGAGTGTTGTTTGTAATTGCAGTGGAGTGGTGTTGACAGGTTATGCATTTCTTGCAAAGACAAGGCTGTGTCCCACTTGATGTCTGTTGGGCCACGGGGAGTTTGCTTTTGATGAGTTGGGCACAGTTAGAGGGTAGTTTGGAAGCCAGGAGTAGAGGAGCTGGGAATATTTTTCTCAGGGTCTGATCTTTGCCAAGAATAGGCTGTTGTTTCTTGAGGATGCTTCCACTTGGCCCCAGCATTGGGTGATAGGTGACCACCAGGGCTGTGTGGTCACACGGGGAGCTTCTTTTTGTATTGTAGGAGGTTGGACACTAAGAATGTCTTGCAATTGAAAGCTTGTCTAACTCTATCCTGACTATACAGTTGGGCCCATAAAAGATAACACCCTAAGACATCCTTGCCTCTCCTAATTTCTGGACCGTCTTGGCTACAACATCACCCTTGACTTCCAAAGCCAAGAGAGTATTTTGGTGATGCCTTGACTATGATCACACTTTAACTATACAAACTTCTGTTTCAATATTTTTCTTGTTTTTTTAACATACTGGTATTTTTGGAGCTCAAAATCAGGAATGTGATTTTCTTAGGTTCCTCTCACCTACTTGCTTTGCCAACAGTTTTACTCCTGTAGGGTAATGTATGTTAGAAAAACTAGTAAAGGGGCTACAGATTCACTCAATTTATTTTGGCAGGACTGCTCACTCCAGAAGGCTAGTGGTACAGCACCATGCTTCCAAACATACTCCTGTTCATGGTTCAAGTCAACCAGTTGCCTGTAATTCAGCACTTAACATAGTTACACCAGGAATGTCTTGTCTCACTCACCATGCTCACTTGGGTTCAACACACCATTAATACCATGGATAAGAACTCAATAGCTAATACTAACCATGTGCTTAATCTTAAGTACTTTCAATTAATTAGGGCCAGAGTGCCCAGCACCTTCTAGAGTCAAGCCAGTTTTGAGGACAGTTCAGTGCCACAGACTTTTTAAACATTGCTGTTATGTTAATGCAATAAGAGATATTAAAGGTCCAGCCCACCATTTCACTCAGCCTGCAGGGCTCCTGGAATAGCTGGGAATCCAGGGGGTGCGGCGAGCAGGGGCAGGGCCCACTACCAAATTCTGGTGTACAGACTACAGAGTCCCATGGGATACACGTGTCAGTAATGGTAAAAGTAGGAGGGTGCTGTGAGGGTGGGGCAGGGGGAGTTAACCCCTATACTGCTACCACATGTCCAACCACTGCTGCCAAGTTTGGATCTGGCGTGTGAGCTGTCCCATAGTCCAGATCCAGCCCAGGGGGCTGTTCAAATTTGACACCCCTGCTTTAATAGAATTAAATGTGGTTATTCAGTAATCTACCCTTTCATCCAAGGATCTCAACATGGATTTAAAATGTCAAGCAAATAACATGAATACCACAGGAGAACAGAATCTCACAATCTTTTGATTGCACACTTTCTAATTGGCACACACAAAAATGGCAATGTCTCCCCAAAACCCAATAAAAATTCAGAAGCAGATAGCTGTAATTTAATCTCATATTGCTAACCATTATTCTTATAAATTGTCCTCTAAAACATTTAGTACATTCATGGTGCATCACAATAAAATGAAGAGAAAATTACAAAGAACAAACTAACTAAGGATGTGAATTTACTCCTCTTACTCACCTTGAGCAGTAGTCACTGTGAGTCAGGCAATTTAAAGAATAAAATACCAATCCTCAGGAGTAAGAATAGACAGAATCAGGCCCTAAATGAACAGAATACATTCATCCTAGCACAGTACCTTTGCTTTTTTAAATCACTCTGCTAATTCACAATGAGTCTCCTATTAATTAATGTGAATTAGCAAGTTTTGACTTTCTAATTTAGGTTCATTTTAAGTGTTTTACACTACACTGATGATTTAAAAAGCTTGTTAGAACAGGCATGCAGGTGTGAGCTGCAAATCATACCAAAATTGCTGCTCTCATTCAACTCGGCACGTGCTTTTAGTCCTTGGCCCGCTCAGCTATTGTGTTTGTTTTGGGTAGTTTCTAACGCTAGCTGCTCCTTGCGGAGTTGGATTTCTTCAAGGAGCAAGATAAAATGTTCAAGTCACAGCGTGGCATAAAGAAGGAAGGCTCCTCTAAATGCTTTGTGGATCCCTGAAAATCCCTCTCCATTTTCTCATTTTTGTTGCATACCCTCTGCAACCTTGAGTCGCTGGTTTGTAACCATGATGTTGTTCTTTTGTACTTTGTACAAGGCCCAGACAGGAGCCCTTTTGGAATATGTCAACACTAGTCCTTAATTGGTCTCTCAAGAATAATGAAAGGCATTCCAGTCTCCAAAGGGCTCAGTGTGCTGTTTTTACTGCTGTCGCAGTCCTCGCCGATACAGAGTCTGAAAGACAAAGAAATGGATGCAGCTCCCTTAGCTGTGGAGAAACAATCCCACTGTGCTGTAGTGGAGGAGTTTCATACTGCATTTTGAGTAAGCCACCCCATCAATTATCCATGACTGTACACGGTCTGGGAACATCCCCTTGCCTTCCCTTTTACCTACCCTAAATAATCATTTGATATTCATAGGTATGTGGAATGGAAAGGCATAAAACTAGCTGTGCTTTGCTCGATTGTTTTATGCTTAATGCTACAAAAAATACTAAAAAAAGGGATCGTGGGACCCGCTCTAAAACGATCCGTTTCTTTTCCGTCTATCATTCAGCACTAGAGACCTGCACTTATTTAGAAAGAAACCCGTCGCCTGGACCGGAGGGACACTTAAACGAGGAAGGTAAAAAAAGAAAAAGGGAAGTCTGACGGGGAGAGTGAAGGGCTAGTGCGCAGCGGGGAGTCCGGGGTGCGGCTCACCCCGCCACGCTTGCTTTGGCTGCAATAGCAACGAGCTCCTGTTTGTTGGCTGGGCGACTGCTTGGCGGAGGCGAGGTAGCTCGTGGGGGACTCGGCTGCAGGACGAGGC